CCGCCATCTTGTGGCTGTGGGCACTGCCATATTTGAGGGTGGGGCAGTCAATTAGCATATTCCCTCCTCATTGGCTGTAGGTGCTGCCATCTTTTGCGATGGTGTGAGGGTCAGTTAGCATATTTCCTCTTTATTAGATATGATTAGTTCAAAATGCACTCCCCTCCCCCCCAAATTGCTATGATTTGCCTGACCTTCAAAGGACTTTGGGACTCAAGGACATCTTCACTATTTAAAAAGTACATCATTATTTCATAGTATAGCAAACTCTAGAAGAGTATCTTATAGAAATTACCTTAAATGTGAAATTTTTACACACTTCATTCTCAAGTAAAATTTGTGCATTTCAATCAGATTATGTTTTCTTTTTTGAAGAACTGACTTTTTAAGTATTTTTAAATAAGTTATATGTATATATATTTTATTGATTTTAGAGAGAGAGGAAAGGATAAGGATAGAAAGATAGAAACATTGGGCTGTGTCCTGTACACCCCCAAATGAGGATTGAGCCCATAACCGGGGCATGTGCCCTGACCAGGAATAGAACCGGCGATCTCCTGGTTCATAAGTTGACACTCAACCATTGAACCACACCCGCCAAGCAGATTATGTTTTCCTTTATAAAAGCATTCATGGAATTTCATTAGCCTTAGTCCTTCTTTCATTGCATTTCTTTCCCTTTTTGGATAATATTACACAATGGTCTCACTGCAAGGGGTTATTAATAAGATATTGTTCCAGAAATGGAACCCAGATCATAGTAATAAATCAAGTACTACTTGTTTAGACAACTCATATTTATTTCAAGTAAATGCTTTTTGGGACCTGAAAACTGTCTTTCATTTTTTATTTTTCTAACAATTTGGTGATAAAAACATAGAAAATAAATATAATCTATGTCTAAATCCCAGAAAAACTTGTTGGCTGGGATACAGGCTACCAATTCCTAATGCACACAGGGAGTGCTCAATAAATGTCACTGTCTGACTGATAGTATTATTTCTTAAGGTTTTCTTCTCTTAACCCAAGCAGTTGCTTAATTTGTACTGAAAGTCTGATTTTCTTTTCTCTATCCCAGCATGTTTAGGTTAATATACCATTACTATTTTAAATTAATATACCATTACTATTTTAATGCATTTATTTTTAAAAACAGTTTTTCTTGAGTATCAGCAGATCACATTCCAGGATCTTGTGACTATGTAACAATTTACCATCTGGTACTAATATCCTATATAATAAAAGGGTAATATGCAAATTGACCCTAACAGTGGAACAACCAAAACGACCACTCAACCAGTCACTATGAGGCGCACTGACCACCTCTCGGTTCCTTTCCCCAGCTGGCAGGCTCCCATCACCTGATGGCAAATGGGGAACCGGAGGTGGGTGGCGGGGTACGCGAGTGGTGCTAGGCCAAGGCCCCCGCCCCACCAGTTGCCCCACACACAAAGGGCGACCTGCGGCGGGGGTAGGGCTGGCGAGCGGGCAGGAATGGCTGACCTCTCGGTTCCTCTCCCTGGCAGGCAGGCTCTGATTGCCTGATGGTGAACGGGGTGATAGTGGGCAGGGGCGGGGCCGGCTGCAGGCAGCTGGGGAAGATGGCCCTAATCACAGGCCAGGCCTAGGGACCGTACCTGTGAACGAATTTCGTGCACCGGGCCTCTAGTGGTTAGATAACCTAGTAGAATTTGGGGGCATAGTACTCTCAACTGATGAAAAGATCTTGCTGCAATAGTTTTTTTCCCATTGATGGAAAGTCCTTAGTTTCTAAGTCCTTCCCCCACCCCCATCTTCACCCATTTTATTCTTCCTAAATGTACTTACATTGCTTCAAATTAAGTCTTTGAGGGAAATACCAGGTATAGGACAAATTGGGGACTCTAGAGCAGTAATCAAAGTTTTCACCTATGATTTCTGGGTGCAGGCATGGAGCTAGAATTGCATAAGACCCCTGGTTTTGAGGTTTGGGACTCCAGGGATCTCCCCATTTCCAGTGAGTTAGGCTACCATGATTATTTGCTATCAATTCTCCACACACAGAGCATACATACCTGCACATAAATCCTGCTTGCTATCATTTTAATTATTTATGTGAAGGTTTTTAATCCTTTGTGGGTCAAACAAGAACCACATAGCTTTTTGTAATTTGATAGTTATACAATTTTTTGTCCTCTGTAAAAGGATTTCAAACCTATTTACAACAACCAAAATTCTTACCATTCTTCATAGGAGTTTTATGCAATAAATACTCTAAATTATTAAAGAGCAAATGTATAAAAGAAACTAGGACCTTTAAACCCCTTGTAAAATTTACCTTTAAGAGAACTATTTCATTAGTTTAAACACACACATATCTTTGAACATATAAATAAAACATTTAACTTTATAAATCTTATTTTTGCTAAGATGTCTTTTGACATTTCTAACCCCATCTTACCAGAAATATAGCTCACTAACTGATGATCTCTTCTAAATTATCTTTGTCATCACTTTAATTTCATAATAAATCCTTTACATGTTCATCAAGGAGAAATGGTCTTTCATATTAAAATTTTTCCTTAAACTGTGATTTAGAAGTACCATAACAAGAAATCAAGAAGTTTATGTAATAAGAAGGTAATGGGACAAGCAGGCAAATGATACTTATTTTTCCAAAAGCTGAATGCATTTATCACCACTTTTAACAATCTGGTAAATCAATACAAAATTACATTAAGCATTTATAAATTCATATTTGATTTAACCAGTTGATCTAACTTACTGATGAAAAGTGTCTCTAATAATTACTGAAATTACAGAATTAGAAATGAAACAGTCCATTAGCTATCTGCCACAAAAGCAGCATAATGTTACACTTTGTTCCTTTTTTTCTCCCACCCTCTTAAGAAACAGGAATATTATGTGGTCTTATTTCACATCCTGACCTCAGGATGGGTTTGGAAGACATGGTTTCTACTAAGGTATAAGACATATTTCTGTATATTATTCACACTAAGGACCTAAAATATTCTCTGTAAATTTTAATTATCAAAACATCCTTTGGGTTAAAAAGTATTTCTGTTCTTCAAAGATTAAAGAACTGAGTATAATGACTAACTGATTTATGTAACTGATCATATGACTGTTAAACCTGTAATAGAAATGACATTTTGATTTCTAGCAAGACTTCTTAAACTTTACCTAAAAGATGCATTAGAATGTCAAAGTTCAAGAGCCTCCTTTCTCATTTTTAAAAAACAATTTAAATGGCCTTACCATTTTCATTTGCCAGAAAGTAGCTAAAAGATAATAAATTTGCCAGTACTTTCATAGTTGCTCTCTGTACTGGGATAGGAAAGGGTGCTTGCTGAATTGTTCTGGTTTTCATGACCCAGTCCAAACCATATAATACTCTGGCTCCAACTAAGAATTTTAAAATCAACAAAAGAAAGAACTGTAACTATTTAACGCAGTAGGTTCTACATTTATGGAGCCTATAAGCTCATTTCCTGGGGAAAGTGAAAACAGTCTTAGGACTTTAAATGAACTCTTGGATGCTGGAATCACAGCAAATACAGGAAAATTAGGAATATGTTGGTAACCTCTAGTCTTTTTTTAAACTGACCTCATCCTGGGCAAGTAACCATCTCCTGATGCCATTGTTGGAGACAATTTCTGGCTGAAAGATCATTTTTCTGACTCAATCTGACTTGCTATTCTTGGTTAATCATCCCCATTTCTCTTATCATTTCACTCCGCAGACTATAACATTTCCTTTCAGGAAAGACTTTTTAAGTGATTTGGTACTTCCAGATTTGGTCTCCCTCTTTATCCTAGCTAAATCCCCCCAGGCCCCATTCCGATCGCCCTCGTTTCACTAAGATTTTGCTAAACATTATTAGACACAGCATATGACCTCCATCCAGTCTTTCACTGTCTCGGAACAGACATAAAAACATTCGATTGGTGCGGTTGCAAGCTTCTCTATGCTAGGAATTTAAGAGTCATTGGCTCTTCTATTCTACTCTTAAAGACCTGCAAGGCAAAATTTAAATTTAAAAAAATTTAAATAAAAAACCGCTCCCTTTTTTTAACCTTTAGCCACGCCCACTGCCTCCCTCCAGCCTCCACGCGAAACTGCAGGAAACCGGAGGGGGCGGGACGGTTACGTCATGACGCGACGCCCTTGCGTCAAGGAACGCCGGCGGCTGCGGCGC